AGAAAGAAAGTGAGAATATTAGGAAGAAAAAAGAGGAAGAGGCAGATGTATGCCTCTAATACAGACAAAGGAAAAAAACTAATTCTAATATTGCTTTGATTTTCTCTCAGGAAACTAGATCATTTCTTTCAATGCATGTGACTACACCTATAACACCACTTACTTACCCAAAGTAATTGTGCCTTAGAAACAATATTCCTCTTCTCTTAAAAAAAGTGATCCTTAGCTGAAGAGGACTGGACATTGTATTACTAACTGGCAACCTCATTTATTGCCTAAACAGATAAAGCTTTAGTCTGCCTAAGAATTCATCCTATGTAATAATCTGAACAATAAAGATTTATTTTTTAAAAAAAGAGGTAAGTCAGAAAGAAAAAAATGTGAGTCCTGGCTTTAAGGGATTAATATATTTAACTATCCAAATACAAATTTTAACATAAATTTATTAAAGAGCTATAATTAAAGAGCTATAAGATTTCAAAGTTAGTTGTGGGACTAACAGAAGAATCTATGAAAGAGATGGCAGTTAAAATGGTTAAAATGAATACTGATGGATTGGTAACAATTGGATGATAGCCTATAAACTCCTGAAAGAACTATATTTTATTCACATTGGTGTCCTTACTACCTCACAAAATATCTGCAATATGACATTCAATAAACGTTTAAGAAACTTGGGAGGAGCAAGGCAAGCCCTCTATTTTCTTCAGTGTCAGTATAATATAGACATGAGCCCTGGCAGGTGTGGCTCAGTTGGTTGGAGTGTCATCCTGTACATCGAAAGGTTGTGGGCTCGACTCCTGGTGAGGTGGATGAGCAAAAATAGCGAAGACTGGCTAGTAAAAAAAGTTCATGAAAGGGGATGGCAAGAACTAAGGTGAGAAAATTAGGTGATAACAACATGGAGTGCCATGAATGACAATCTTTATTATGCAGGCAAGGAGAGAATCCTGTAAACTCTTACCAGGAGGTGTTGATATGGGGAGTCTAATAGGGGTCCTCTGTTTGAAAAAATAAATTTATTACCACTTCACCCATACTGTTTAAAATTCTACCACTAGGAATTATTTTCTCTTAAGGCATAAATAACCTTGTTAGGAATCTTCTTAATATGCAAATCCTCTTGAGAGGTCATAGAAAAAGCCATTGTCATTCACTTATATGTTAGTATTAAGTTGGATAATCAATTTATCTTCTCCTGACTAGAGTGAGTACACAGCCATTGGGGAAATGGGAGTTTTGACTTCACTCTGAGACACTACTTTGGAAAGACAGGGTGCAAAAACAGAGGTTAATTAATACCTTTGCTTAAATGCCAACTCTGTTCTTTCCAAAAGCAGAACTGAGTAAAGAGAAGTAAAAGACATTATAATCTCCCAATGTCGGAAATACTAAATGGATGGCACAAAAGGTAAGAAATAAGGAGGTATGTACATAATCAACTGAACATTTTGGGGGGAGGTGGGGTAAGGTTTTGTGGAATTTAGACACTACATACTGAGTTGAGTTTTCCTCAAAAGTGGCAAATAATGACTTTACCTAAATCACATTGAATCACAACTTCATGAATAATTGTGATGCACAATTATTATTCAAAGAATATGATGGTGCGAAGAGAAGAAATTTAAAAAGAAAGTCACAGAAATAGTGTTATCTACCAAAAATAATATCAGGATAACAGCCATGTGATAACCCTGGGGCTTCCATCCAGATTTAAGAGAAGCCAGGGATCTCATGTGGATGGTTTTCTGCTTTCTACAACTCAAATCCTCAATCTAGGCCGGGCAGGGCTTACTTTGCTGGCTGGTTTGCACGCAAGGAAAACACTGGGGCGCGTTTCCTGTGGGGTCCACCAAGGGACCCCAGGTTCCCAGCGGAATGGGGGGTGGGATGAGCACTCACCGCTTGTCGATGGCATCGATGTTTGAATGGAGGAGCCACAACTCTTCCGTGTTGTCCTGCCGGGAGGACAGGATCAGGTGGTGGCCAGTTAGACACAAGGTCCCCTCAACAGCTGGATAGAATGGTCGGTGGAGCACCACATTGTCCACCCGCGGGGTCTTAATCAGCTCCGCGAACTCCATGGTCCCCAGCGGCCGGAGCCAGGGGACGGCCGCGTCCCGGGGATGGAAGGCGGTTACACCGCCGCAGGGCTGAAGAGAATGACCTGGCGCGGGG